AAGACTTTTTAAAAATGCCGCGGGACAAAAATCCGGACTGTCCCACCAAAAGCGGGACAACTGGCCACCTTATTCTACTGCCAATGCCCTTCTCCCCCCACCAAGTCAGTGTTTTCCTAATGCAGTCCAGAGGATAGGTGAGTGGGGAGGCTGGATTCCCAGGCCCACCATTACAGAATCAGAATCTCTGGGGATTCTGTATTGTCAAACTTCCTATTGCTTCGTAAACTCGCTGAAGCAGAAGGCTCAGTGAGCTAAGGCACAACCTTCCCTTAGAGGGGCTGCACATAGGAGTGCCCACAGAGCCTGGGCAGCTAATGCCAATGACCCAGCAGAAAAGTCACAGCCCAAGCATCATGGCAAACTGCACAGGTCTCAGGTCATGGAGAGATGAGAGTGCATAGGGAAGGTGGGTGGCTAGGTAGTGGTGGGGGGTCTGGAGGGCACACACCCCATTAAGAAGGGGTACCCAGCTGAAACTGGTTTGGCTCAGTGGATAGAGCATTGGCCTGTGGACCACAAGGTCCGGGTTTGATTCCGGTCAAGGGCATGTGCCGTGGTTGCAGGCACATCCCCAGTGGGAGGTGTGCAGGAGACAGCTGATCGGTGTTTCTCTCTCATCAATATTTCTAACTCTATCCCTCTCTCTTACTCTCTGTAAAAAAAACAACAATAAAATATATTTATTTAAAAAGAAAGAAAGAAAGAAAGAAAGAAAGAAAGAAAGAAAGAAAGAAAGAAAGAAAGAAAGAAAGAAAACGAAGGAGTACCCACAGCTCAGTTTGGGCTGAGTTTTGCAGTTAGGACTCTAGTCCAGCTTGACTAGAACATTTCCCAGAACAGCAGAAAATCTGCATCTTTCTGTAAACTTTTCCAACTTTTAACACTAGCTTAAAATGCTTATAGTCTTCTTATTCTAAATTAAAAAAAAAAAAAGATGCATTGGCCAAACAACATGTCTAATACATTTAAAGGTTAATCCATTGAAAGGTTAAACCATTAAAGCTGTGGTTTCTCAAACTTCCACAACATCTGGAAGCCATGGCACTCTTTGCAAAGCAATATAAACTATGGTTCTCAACCCTGGCTACACATTAGAATCATCTGGAAATCTTAAAAAAAAAAAAAAAGAAAAAAAAAAAGCAAGCTCTGGACACACCCACGCTCCAATGTATCAGGGAGTGGGTCCAGGCAGCATCTGTTTTTAAAGGTCTCCAGGTGATTATAACGCACCTCAGGGATAAAGAAGCTCGGCCACACTGATATATGTAGTCCGGTCACTGGAACCGGCAGTACTTTCCCTAGCAGAGATGATGTATACAAGCAAAGGCACAGCTATGAGCCCAGGTGTCTGCAAATATTTCAAATGGCATGGCCCAAAACCACAGTCAGCTGTTTCCAGGTTTTTCCATGAATACTCTCATAAATGTTTTTTTTTTTCTTCTTGTTTTTCTCTCAAAAGAGAAAATGGCAGCCATCGATCTATATAGTTTGTGCGTAATGGAAAAAGCTGGTCATGATTTAATTTGTAAAGGTCAGCCCTCTCGCCCAGCTCTCAGGAATACAGTGTTCTGCAGAAGCAGGAGTTCGGCCACAAAGCTGACTGTGAATTGGCTCTTGTCGGAAGCACAGGTTGGCATCCATAGACCCATTTCGTGGAACCCTGCCCCCTTTTGTTGATGAAACCATCTCTCTACTGGATGACCTCTCAGGAGACTTCAGAGTCTCCGCTTCAATAAAAGATATCAGGTTCAAATCCCACCTCTGCCACCTATTGGCTGAGTGACCTTGCAGAAGTCATTGATCTTTTCTGATGGTCCAGTTTCTGATTTGTAAAATGGTAAATTTTTCTTATTCTCATTCTCCTCAAGGATTGTTAGAGGGTCAACTGAGTAAATACAAGTTCTGTGCAATGCAAGGCTGTGCTATTACACTTTGGTTACTTATTTACACTCTGACTTATTCCACAAATGATTTAAACATCATTATTATTCAGTGAATTTAATGGTCAAGAAGATGATCACATTTCCTTTTCTCTCCTGTGAAGTTCTTTTTACATCAATAACAATTGTGCCTGAGCTCTGCTTATTAGTGCCAATCTGCTCCCGTGGGACCTGGCTAAGACCCCTCTGGACACCCATTTCTTTATCTGAAGGGAGACAACCCCCTGACATCTGATCTAACTGTTAGAAATCTTTAAGTCCGAGTAATAAAAATAGTGACCCTTCTTACCTCCTTGAAATTCCCACCAAGAGGAGTCAGTCCTCCTTAGGGAACAGATATCTAATTGATGGGCTGGAAGAAACCAAGAAGGGATGGTCACTAGGGTGTCTTGAAGACTCTCTTAGCTCCTTGCTCCCCCATCTCCTGGCTGCCCGTGGTCTGGACTCCTCACTGGCACGTGCCATTTTTCTGTTCCCCTTTTCCTTTTTACAGCAAAGCACACACTGCATTGACATATCCTTTCCTCCCTCCTTCAACAGTTCCTGGAGGTGCTATTATAACTGAAGTCATGCTGATGACAGCTCCCTCCAGAACAAAGGATGTCAGTACTCAAGAGGGTTGCCAGTCCAAGTAGCTTCTCCATGTCTGGAGGGTTATAAACTTGCAAACTTAAAATTTAAATTGCCATCATGAGTCCTCTTTTCAGTTCTCTCTGAAATGGTTCAGGGAATACTTGGCGGGATTTGTTCTTTCAAAGCCAATTATTAATCAGGGCTTCATTAGGCGGCATTCACACATTTGTTTTTCTAACATCTGTTCCATTAGTTTCCCAAGAACCAGTGTCAGGCCCACCAGATGGCAGTTTCCAGAAACGCTCACTCATCCTTTCCTAAAGATCAGTAGCGCATTTGCTCATTTCCAGGCCTCTGATCCTTCCCGCTTTGTCGTGACTTCCTAAACCACCCCTCGGGTGATTATGAGCTCATTCCAGTCATGTTCATTATGTGTGGAATCTGGGTCTCTGAGCTTGAGTTTCAAGTTCTGTGACCCTTTGTGTAGAAAGTTTTTCTCTGGGTGTTAATGCTGCTCAGACCTTGAGGTTGTCAAGTGTGTACAGGAGAAAAGATAAGATCTTTCTTTTATCTGGCTGTCCGGGGTTAGGGAAGAGCATTCACTGCCTTTTGTTCATGATCAGGGACTAAGAGGCCATGGGGTGATGGAGGCTGGTATAGCAGGGACAGTTAAGGAAAGAAACTCCTAGAGAGAAAGGAGCCATGGTGATGGACCAGCTTGGTCTGAAGAAACATCTAAACACCTGTTGGTCGGCCAGGCAGGAGATATGGGCCCTTTGCCAGACCAATGTTGCCTCATTAGGTTTTAAACCCGCTGGGGGTTATGTCGCTGAACTGCTCTGACACTTTCCATGTCTCCCTACTCTTAATGAGATAAAATCCAACTCTTCAGTCTGATATTTCAGCCTCCCTGCATGTGGCCTCCAATCTACTGTCTTAACTGGATCTCATTTGGTCCAGTGCGGCTGCTTGCGGTCACTCTTACTCACTTGCATTTCCTCCCCATCCTGCCTTTGTTTCCAGCAGACCTTACCTGTGAAATTTCTCTTCTCCCCATCCTCAAACTCTCTCCTACTACAGGACCCAACTCAAATATCTCCTCTTCCATGAAGTGTTCTCTGCTTTCCCCCTCCTCTGATCTCTTTGCAATATCCTGGGCTTCTCTGCAAGCCCTCAACACTTTCCCTCTGGTCCTATTATTTGGGCCCAGGTGTTAATGATCTCCCCTGTATATTAACTCCTTGAAGGCAGGGACCATGTCTATTCATTTTTTGTGTCTGTGTTAGCATTGTTATTGGTATGTAGTATTTGTTCAACACATGCTCTATAAATGAATGAACAGCCCGACCAGTGTGGGTCAGCGGTTGAGCATTGACCTATGAACCAGGAGGTCATAGTACAATTCCTGGTCAGGACACATGTCTTGGCTGCCAGCTCAATCCCTCAGTGTGGGGCATGCAGAAGGCAGCCAATCAATTATTTTCTCTCATCACCCTTCCTCTCTGACATCAATAAAAATATTTTTAAATCCTGTATAATAAAGATGTAATATGTAAATTGACCATCACTCCAACACACAAGGTGACAGCCCCATGTGGTCAAAGATGGCTGCCCCCACATGGACACAAGATGGCTACCACAAGATGGCCGGCAGGGGAGGGCAGATGGGGGTGATCAGGCCTGCAGGAGAGCACAGTTAAGGGTGACCAGGTCGGTAGGTGAGAGCAGTTAGGGGTGAACAGGCTGGCAAGGGAGGGCAGTTAGTGGTGACTGGGTCAGCAAGAGAGGGGTTAGAGGAGTGATTAGGGAGTGATCAGGGGAGTGATTAGGAAGTGATCAGGCTGGCAGGCAGAAGTGGTTAGGGGCTATCAGGCAGACAGGCAGGCGAGCAGTTGGGAGCCAGCAGTCATGGATTGTGAGAGTGATGTCTAACTGCTCCACTGGAATCAGTCCTAAATGGGCAGTCGGACATCACTTGAGGGATCTCAGATTGGAGAGGGTGCAGGCTGGACTGAGATATACACAGACCCACCCACACCCCCCCCCCCCCTTCATGCACGAATTTTGTGTACTGGGCCTGTAGTAATAAAATAAATGAATGAACAAACACATCTCACTGGCTATTAGATGATTAAACTATAGGAGGGAGAGCTGAGATCTCCTGAGAATCTGTATTTTCTAAAAGAGTAGGAAGAGCAGGCCAGAAAGCCTGCTGGAGATGATGTTAAGGCAATGGGAGGAGGGTGATTACAGTTGATTGGCCTGCCTTCTGTGCCATGTCTTGGGGCTCAGGAGTCTCTCTGCTCCTCTCTCAGGTCTGTGTGTGATTCCAGGGCCACCTAGGATCTTCCTCCTATCTGCATGTTTAGGTCTGAGGCCTTAAGCTCCAGAAAGGTCATTGGCCCCTTGGGGAGTGTCTGTTGCTATTACATTGCTCCCGTGGGCCTCACTCCTGCTGCACCTCCCTGTTGCTTTGTCTTCTAGATGAGTTGGCTGTCTGCCCCAAAGGAATCACCTCCAAGGTTTTCCGCTTCAATGTGTCTTCAGTGGAGAAAAATGGAACCAACCTGTTCCGAGCAGAATTCCGGGTGTTGAGGGTGCCCAACCCCAGCTCCAAGCGCAACGAGCAGAGGATCGAGCTCTTCCAGGTGAGCCCCTCCCAGAACAGAAGCCAATCTGGTGGGAAGCCCAGCGTGGCAGACCTGGGTAGGAATCCTGCCTCTCTGAGCCTTCGCTTCTGTGTGCCACTAAGAGGACTGAGCGTTACCTTAGCGCTCAAAGCAGCATTCAGAAATGTGCTTTCCTCTTGCGCCCCTCACCTGCCCTGCACTGTGACACAATCTGTGGGATTCTGTCCGGGCCTCAGAATCCCTGTCTCTGTCCTGCAGATACTCCGTCCAGATGAGCACATCGCCAAGCAACGCTACATCGGCGGCAAGAACCTGCCCACCCGGGGCACTGCCGAGTGGCTGTCTTTTGACGTCACTGACACCGTGCGTGAATGGCTCTCTCGAAGAGGTAGGTTGACTCTGAGAATAAGCGTTTTTGAAAGGAGCCTAGGGCCCTTTTATCCTTCGTGAAACAGAGGGGGGAAGACAGAACGAGGGGAGTCACGGATCTGGGTTTAAGACTTAAGCTTTGCCACTGACTCCCTGTGTGTTCTTCCTTCACTCACTCACCTCATATTTATTAACTGCTCACGCTTCGCCAGGTCCTGGATTCAGCGATGAACAAGACAGGTGAGACCCCAGATCCTATGGGGCATTGGTTCTGGTGGGAGAGACACATAATACACAAATAAACATATTGACAAGGAAGAATTTCAGTGAGTGATAAGTACCATGAAGAACAGAGAGTGGGCAATGTGACAATGACTGGGTGGGATCCGACATAGGATGGTCAAGGAAGGTCTCTAAGAAGAGGGAATTTGTGCCCTGAGGTCTGAGTGAGGAGAAGGCACCAGCCTGGGAGAGTCAGGATAAAGGATGTTCTAAGCAAAGCAAACAGCAAGGCCCAGGCGCCCGGGCGAGAACAAGCTTGATTTGTTCTAGTGGCAGCAGACAGACTGGCATGGCTGGAGCTGAGTGAGCTGGGGTCAGAGAGGTAGCTGGGGCCATATGGACCTGTCAGGCCATGGTCAGGTTTAAGTACTTATTCCAAGTGTGATGAGCTATCCTAGGAGGGTTAGAAGCAGGGCTGGGGATATTGGGTGAGGTGATTTGGTTTATATACCCCTCTGGTTGCCCTGAGGTCAAGGGAAAAGCAGGAATGCCAGGTAGGGCCTGACAGCAGTCTGGATGAGAGCAATAGGCACTTCAGTTAGGTCATTAGTAGGGGGTATGGAGATGGTGTGGATTTATTCTATATTTTGGAGGAGAAGCCAAAAGTTCAGGCAGATTGCATGTGATGTATAAGGACAGAGGAGGAGCCTAGAGCAGTGGTCGGCAAACTGAGGTTCTCGAGCCACATGTGGCTCTCTGGCCCCTTGAGTCTTTAGCAAAGGCCAGCTTAGGAATACTCTGATTAAGTTAATAACAATGTACCTACCTATATAGTTTAAGTTTACAAAATTTAGCTCTCAAAGAAATTTCAATCATTGTCCTGTTGATATTTGGCTCTGTTCACTAAGGAGTTTGCTGACCGCTGGTTTAGGTGATTTCAAAGATGTTTAGGCTGAACTAACACTTATTGAAATAGGAAGACTGGGAGAGGAGCATGTCTGAGGAAGGTTCTGTCGTGGCTCATTAAGTTTGAAAGGCCTATTAGACATCTAACAGAGCTGTTCGAATTTTACACGTCCTAAACGTCTCGCCCACTCGCTGTTCCCTCACCTGGAAAATAAGGCAATGGTTCCTTCCCTGCATGTCACCACAGGCCCCACCATTCCCCCGTGTCCCCCAAGACTGAGGCTGGAAGTCCCGACTTAGCATGAATGAGCCAGCTTGCTTGGCTCACTCACAGAACCTGCCTGGGCTCTGTGGGCATCTGAGTTTGCAGGTCCCCACCCAAGGGACATTACCTGGTGGCCGGGCTGGCAGATGGTGGGCTGGAGGCCCTGCCTCGGCTCCAAGGTCCCAGGAATCTGTCCTCTCTCTCTTTCTGAGCACCAGGAGAACCACGTGGCTCAGCTGACAGCAGCACTGGTGGGAATTCTGACTCAGACAGCACTCCGCCTAGAGCCCGACGTGGCTGCTGAGAGAGGCCAGGGAAATGAATCTCTCTGCTTCCCTGCCTGATTTTGATCAGCTCCACCTGGATGTCTCTGACGCCCTGAAGGAGTTCTTATTTTCACAGCTGCAGAACTCAATGAGCAGCTTGCATTGAGAATGATTTCCATCCTTCTGGAGACATCAAAAAGATAATTTCGTAATAGAATCTATGGGTCCCCCACCCTCCATCCCCACCGCTGCCAATTCTGAGCTTAGTTCTTCAGTGGAACCTTCCGTTCCCTCTCGGCAGATGCTGCCTGCCCCCTGCACAGACCTTGCCTTCTGTAGAGCTCAGGAGCCTCTTCCAAGTCTGTGGCTCCAAACAAGGCAGCGAATGGAGCAGTTGGGGGTGTGGGCTACTGAAGAAACTGAGTCACACATCTGGTGTTGCAATTATTTATCAAACATCGGACGGCCTACGATGTGTCCGGTTCCCAGGCTGCTTTCTGGGTTCCAGACCTGGCTGGAGCTTTCTCCCTGAGCTATTGCTCTACCCCACCTGCATTTCATTCATGTGCAGAGCCAGGCCTCCCCCAGCAGGTGGGGCAGGGAGCACGCCCAGCATCCAGGCCCTGGAAGGGTGGACACTGGGAACATACGACCATTTTGCATCTCAATGAGTGTGTGGGCATCCTCCTTGCTGCTCTGTGTTGGCCTTCTTCTCTCCCTCTCTCTGTCTCTAACAATCAGGAGTGTAGCTCTGGCATCTGGCTGCCTGGGTTTGAATCTTGACTCTACAACTTCCTGGTTGAGTACCTTGGACAAGCCATTACATTTCCCTAGGCCTCCGTGTCCTCTGTGTAACGAGGATAACAACAGTTCTCACTTTGTAGGATTATTATAAAGATTCAAACGCAGCATGGAGGTCTCAGAGCATTCTCTCAGGGAGTCCAGGGATGCTGGTGATTATTGCCATCACTCTGAGCTCCCTACCTAGACAGACCGGTCGGTCCAGCCAAGCCATCATCTCACACCTGCACCCTAACCCTGATTCTCCCCAGCACATGTGTCTGCACCTTGACTTTCCAACTCACAGAATCATAGAACTTGTCTGCTTCAGGACTTTCTCAACCTACCTTAACGTTCGGGATAGCAAGAAGTCTTATGTAACCCATTTCAGCTGCTCCAGCACCTTCCTTCAGTGGCCTTAAACCAAGAAGAGTCCACTCCTTACATCTCCCTCTTATACCCGACCACTATTGCTTCTGGATCAATAGAGAGTCTCTAATTGTTGTATCCACCAGAACTAACATGATACCAAAACTAACCTGGTTTCCCTGCACAAAACTACTGGATTCAGTTCAGTTTAATCACTTATTTTTCTTCCACTTTACTCAACTTTTTGTACTCATCTCCTTGCTTCCCCAATTTTAGTTTCCAAAACACCTGATCCCAGAACTCCTAGGAGAAAGGGCCAGAGCTAGCCCTCTTACTCCAGAATATCAGTCATCAAACCCGGCACCTCACACTTCCTGGGACTTGTTCTCGCTGGCTCATGCCATCTGGACCATTGGTCATGGCCCTCTGCAGCTCTTCTGGCCTGATTTCACAACTGTCTCCACCAGCTGTTTGCTTTCTCCCAGTGAGCCATCCCACTTCAGACTTCCCAGCGAAGCAGAACGAGGATTCCCAAAGAAATCTCTGAGGAACCTTTATCTGCTCGTGCCCTTGCTCCTTAAGGAAAATATAGCCAACTGTAATGTTCATTTTATCTCCTCTGGGATTTACCTCTTTATGGCAACAATCCCAGCCCTGGTAGAAATGCTGGCAGCTTCCACTCAGACTGATTCTGCTGCCTGTTTGCCACTGATCTTGCTCGGGCATGCTCCTGACTTAAGCTCAGACTCTACCACCTTCCTCCCATCTTGTGGCCCCTTAGCGTTTGGGGCCTTGGGAATCCCTGCCTCTCAGTCCCAGAGTTCTTTAAGTTTCCCCTTTCCCTGGTCTCTCCCAGCCCCTCTGCCTCTTCCCTTCATCCTTGGCTTGAGTACCTCCTCTCCCAATAAGCACCTTTTTTATCTTCTGTCCTGCTCCTTTAAAAAGAAATTTTTTTTAATGTTTTGATTTCAGAGAGAAAGGAAGAGGAAGAGACAGAAACATCAACGATGAGAGAGAATCATTGATCAGCTGCCTCCTGCATGCCTCTCTAATGGAGATTGAGTCCACAACCCAGGCGTGTGCTCTGACCAGGAATCGAACCATGACCTCCTGGTTCATAGGTCGACACTCAACCACTGAGTCACACTGGCTGGGTGCTCCTTATTTTTTTTGCTTCCACGCAGGGGTGTGGCAGCATGAGTGGGAAGGTCTGCACTGGCTTTGGCATCACTTTCTGTCTCCTGTGCCCCTCAGGACATCCCTCTTCTGTCTGTGGCAGCAGAGACCCTGGCCCTCCGGTGCATGGTTGTTATGCCCAGACTTCGTGATCCCCAAGGACCAACCAGGGAGCAGAGACCAATGCAATAAGCAAAAGAACCTGTCCCACTCACGCCAACAACATGGCGGAAGAGAGAGCGAATTTTGCCAAGCCCTGGGGTTTTACTCCAGTGGAGATGTCATTGCTTTGGCTGACCCTGATTGGTTGGGTGAGGGCCAGGTGCCAGCTACACAAAATGGAGGATAACTCCACCCTGCCACACAGTGGAGTCAGGAGTTTATCCTTGCCCCACCCTGCCCTCTCATCCCCCTTTGTCTTATGTGCATGAGTCAAATCATTGACTCAGTCTACTTCCTTTCAGCATAAACAACAAATACAGTTACCAAGACCCTTAGTACCACAATTCCCATCAGTATTGTCCTCACTGAAGTCCAGTTCCCTTCCTGCAGGCATCAATTCTCCTCTTGGCCTGCGTGGAGCCCAGACTGGGGATCTCACAGGTGAGGCTGTTAGTTGCTAGGATCCAGGCCATGCAGGAACTGGGAGTCATGTAGTCAGGTCTGGGTGCCATTTCAACAGCCATGGGCGTGCTCAGGATAACAGTATAGCGTCCCTTTGAGTCCTTGGGCAGTGAATTTCTTTATCCACACTGAGTTCCTGGGCTACAGGGTCTGTGGTGGGCACTGGCAGTGCATCTGGAACAAGCAAACTGCAGAGCCTGTAAGGACTTGAGCAAGGGAATGGTTACCATACATGATCTCCTCCAAAAAAGGGGAAACTTGTCCCAGTAAGGGGTACACCTGGCCCATAAGAGGGCGAAGGACAGGGGTTGGTCCAATTTTCACTGATTCTAGGACACATTTAGTTAAACCCCTTTTCCAGAGTCTCACTTTACCTGTCCTACTTTGAGATAACTTGGCTACAAAGGTGGG